CTCAGAGGCTGATGGTTTTATTTGAGAAGTCCAGCTCCTATTAATCAATAGAACACCCCTTACTGCTTTTAGTATGTGCTATACTGAGCTACTGACTGCACTCAGTGCAAGACTAACAGGAAGGAAGAGTAGACCAGCACATGTACATTGTGATGTTGTTTGTTCTGACAGAGCCAGAAAAACAACTTTCCTCTAGAAAACCTGAATTCAAAGTTAACATCCATTTGACAATCAGAACCATCTAAGTTACTTTGAGGACACTGAAACAGATTTTAGAGAGAGGAAAAACTGGAAAACACTCGACTATTCAGCTCAGTAAATTAAAGATGTTTATTTTAGCTTAACTACAACCTCAGTGACATATTTTCTAGAAAATTGCTATTACATATGAAACCCTCTTCAGATGTGAACTACACTTAAGAGCTGCAAGTGTCTCTGCCTCTGTATGTAACATTCCTGTCTCAGAATTCAAACAGCATTTGACACCTTCGGTTTCTTTGCCATAGATCTTGACTAGACATTCAACTCACCTTTAGTTTATGAGCCACTTTTTCTCTTAGACCCCTTGCAGTGGCATCAATATTTAAAGAATCCAAAATCCAGAAATGGATGACCAGGGTACGACTGCTGCTTTCACATGCATTAGTTTAATCTAGATCATTTCCCAAGCAGATTCCATAACATGTACAAGATGAGTCACTACTTAGTACGGAGCATGACATTTAGAATAACATGGGTTACCCAGGAGCCAGGTCTTATTGACTTTCCATGACATTTATTCTTTCCAATGCCTGAGCTGATTTACACAGTGGGGCTTAGTAATTTTTGTAATGTAGTAACCTTTCTTCCCCCCAAAGCTCTGTCTTTTGCATGGGCTTAATGAAGGATATTTTAAAGTATTACGCATGAATATTATTACATTCTTGCATAAGGTCTAATCTGGCTTACACATGTGCAGTTTGCATCTGCTTCTTTGAGTTTTAATCTATATTTTTGTGGTTCAAACCTAACAAATATAAACTAGGTTTTTAGCATCTGCCTGGAGCAGTTACTGCCCTAACACTGCCTCAGGCAGTATCACTGCCCTGAAACTGCATGTTGCCATCTCTTAGCTGGAAATTACTCCCCTTGCATCAGAGCCAAGAAGCCAGAATGTGTGAGACCTCATTCCTTCAGGGCAAGGTCAAAGCTTACTTTAAACCATGGCAGTCACGGCTGGAGCTACACTGGCTGATTTTGCACCATGTTGCACATTTACCAACCTGATGTTCTGCATCAGGTGTGCTAACCTCTAGCTGAGAGTGTACCTGGCCCTTTAGCCACCTTCTGGATAGCACATTTCACCAGCATGTCCACAGACTAGCACTGATTCAAACACTGGTTCAATAGCGCCCTTTTTAAGTCAAACCAAAAGAGACAAACCAGGTAGACTGGTTCTATTGCAGAAGTTAACATGTCAAAAATGATAATTACTTGTAAAGGCTACCTTGAAAACAGAAAAAATTGTGTCTGCTACAGAAATACAGACTGTGTACATAAACATAATCATAAAGTTTTTCACCTTTTAGTTATCATATAGTTAGCACAAGTGCCTTTACCTACTGTGGAAAGACCCCAGAGCTGAAGAGTTGATAGCTCTGTATCATTTCCAGCAATTTAAAGTAAGGCAGAAATGTTCAGTGTTATTAACTAACAGTAAAAGTATGGTAAAGTTACAAAAAAAAATGAGCATATTCATAATGCTAGAAGTTATTCTTCTACTCCAAAATAAGACTAACATAAGGCATTGAACAAATGAAACAGAAGTTCAGGGCACAATTCACATTCATGTTTCAAGGAAGCCTGTATCATCTATCAATCATGAATCATAGAATGGTTAGGGTTGGAAAGGACCTTAAGATCATCTAGTTCCAACCCCTGCCATGGGCAGGGACAACTCATACTAGATCATATTGCCCAAGGCCCTGTCCAACCTGGCCTTGAACACTGCCAGGGATGGAGAATTTACCACTTCTTTGTTCCAGTGCCTTACTACCCTCACAGTAAAGAACTTCTTCTTTATATCTAGCTTGAATTTCCCGTTTCAGTTTGAACCCATCACCCCTTGTCCTATCACTACAGTCCCTGATGAAGAGTCCCTCTCTGGCAACCTTGTAGGCCCCCTTTAGATACCGGAAAGCTGCTATCAGTCATTTACAGTGGCTTGTTACCATCCCTTGCCATAGGCTCCTGACCCCAAACCTTTGCTAGTAGAAGAAACAAGTAAATGTTTCTCCTTTCCTTCGGTGCAAAGCTGAGCGTCTCAGCTGACTTTGCCACGAAATGGTTTGAGAGCACCTGCACCATTCAGAGCATAGGAGACAGTGCTGCCATTTCCAGAGGCTTTGGTGACAACTTTAATGGATGCAGCATGATCCAGATGACCATGCCTATCAATAGCACTACATTCTTTTTGTCTATGGTACATCTGCCCTAAGAATAAACACAGAATTTTGCCTACAAGGTTCCCAACTTTTCTAATCCTAATTTCATTAAGTAAAGATTCATAAATGAAATATGGTGACTAAAATTTCTGTGGAGAAAGAAATCCTGTAAAACATTGAAAATGACAACAAAGCTTTTAAAGCAATTTCACATTAGGACTCAAGTTAAGTGAAAGAAATAATAAGCTGACTAAGCCGTACTCTTCTCTGTAATGTCTGAATTGCTTTCAAGTGAACTCTTCATGACAGTATTTGACATAATTTGGAAGTTTCACACTTTACTTCAACATTCAGGGCTGGAAAAAAGGTGTCTATTTATTTAATATGATTGCTAGAATTTAAATCAAAGTGGTAGATACCAAATTAAGCCCCAGCTTGGTTACTGTTAAAATGCTGTGAGACTGCTGCCATTTTACGCTCAACAAGTTATTCCACATCGAGATACTGCCAGCACAATCCTGTTTCTGGATTGGTTGCTGTTGTTGTTATACAATACACTAGGTGAGACCTCCATTTTTACTAAGTCGGCAGGAATTCTGCCCACTGAAATGTTTCCATTCTATTTCCAAACCAGAACCTTTACAGTGTAATTTAAACATAAAAATAAACATAGTCACAAGACTTCACAAATTGCATGCTGCTTTAGAATCCTTTTATTTAGAAATAGGGAGAGGAATTTGACAGATTGACCTTTGCCTCTATCTATAATTGATGTTTTTAGAGTTTAGTTTTTTAAGAGCATTTATTGATTTTTGGACTACAAAGAGCACAACATGAGTGGGTCACAAAAAACATTCTTCTGTTGTAAGATATCACTGGAAACATTAATGAAATCAGTTAACACAAAGCCATATCAGGACCTTGTGAAACATTGAGTGTGGGTCTGTTAGAAGTCAAGGAACTTTAGGACATCATTTTTGTGTACTGACAAAAGAGGAATGGGAAATGTTGTTGCTTCTTATCAAATAAATTCCCCAGCTATCAAAGAAACTTAGTGGTTTTGTGAAATGTTTTAAGACAAGAAATCAGCCAGTCACACAGCCAAAACAAACTTCAGTTCCGGATACACAGTAAGTCAGAACACATCAAAGGTAAGTCCGCAAAACTAACTGTCTCAGCTGGAAGTGCACAGGAAGACCTGTGCTTTTGGGAAACATCTCAAAGGCACAGGACACTAATGGTAAAAGTTATATTTCAATAGGTCACAGACTGTCAAAATCCAAGTGGCTTTTCATGAGCAGAAGAAAGGAACCCTTCTTGCCTTTGAAATCACCACTGAAACACGTCAAGGAGGAAAGCAGTGAACAGAGCACGAAGGAGAGAGCTGCACCCCAGCTTTCCCAAGCCCTGTTCTTGTGAATGGGCTACAAGATTTCAGTCTACAAAGAATGTGAGAGGACTCTGCTTCTTAACATTGCAGCTGAAACACACAGAGACACTGAAATGTTTGAACTGTGTATCTGTATTAAAAGGAAAAAAGAAAAAATACCAAACATGATTCAAAGCAAGGAATTAACAATCTGAAAGTGTAAAATCTAATGCTGAAATCACTGTGTGCTGACTAGCAACATTTGTGACACATCTGGAGTCTTAGTGTCCAAGGTGAAACAGAGTTGAGAGTGCTTTTATTTCTGCAAAATAATGTAGTTACTAAATTCTGTTTCCTTTTAATATAAGGAACTTCCATCCTTTACATAGAAAGGATCAGAAAGTGTTCCTTGAAAGTAAGGAAAGACTAGTAAAAGAAGCTTTACCAGACTCCTGTCATTCTGCTGGCAACGCTGCTCTAGCAAAGGGTGAATAGAGCTGTTAAATCAGTGTATATATACATGTGACCTTCAGTATGGAGTGTTTTTTCCAGCAACCATGAAGTGTCTACAATGGTGACAAGTTATTTTCTGAGTAATCTTGTGTGTATATATATATCACAAGATGATAGAAGATTTCATGCAGTAATCTTACTTTGCTCAGCGGAGTTAGCGTGACATATGCTGCTTTGTGATATAGAACGGAGTAAAATTGAGGTTTTTAATATAAGTCCTGACAAAAATGGTAAGTGAAATAGCAGTAGTGCAATGAAGACAGGGCAAACAAAGCCACCATTATGGGCTTTGTAATATCTCAGACACAGTCCTTGGTTTTTAGAAGTAATTTCATTGGGAAATGGAATGTCTGACAAGACACAGAGGTGATTTTTAAGAGGGGCATTGACAGAAGCGACCTCAATTTAACATATCAGCTGAAAGACAGCACCTTTCATCTTGCAGCTTCTTCTAAAATCACTCTTCAGTGACAGCATCATATATGAGTCGAAGTCCTAAGGCAAGACAACAACTAAGCTCATAACTTTCTGCTCCAAAAGTGAATCCACAGTGAAAAATTAACACTCTGTCATAACACCAGGGACTTCACGGATGAATAGAAATTCATCAGGAATCACAGGTTGTGCAAAAAATAAATCCATTGGACAAAACCTCCAACTATCCCAAAATCCTTCTTAAGGAAATCCTTAATTTAAGGAAAGAGTTTAAAACTTGAACCTTGGTTCCATGTCTTCGCTAGTATTAACTTTCAGCAAGCTTATGCCTGACCTATCGCCTTTGCTTCACGAATACCCTACATTTCTGTGCCCTTAGGCTGTTGTACTACCACTTCAGGATCTCCTCCCCAAGACGTTGTTTTTCACATTTTTAACCTCATACATCATTTCTATCACCTCAGGAGCAGGAAAATCTCCAAAGCAGTGTTAAAATCTCAGTTACCATGTTTTAAATTAATATTTACACTGCTAATAAAAAATTCATATTTACCATGGCAACCTGCATCATACATATGCTCCTGATGAGAGGGAGAGAAGCCATTAAAAATAAATAAAAATAAGCAGGCACAGAAATGAAACATACACATTTCTGGACACATATTTCCAATGGAGGGGGAAAAATAAATTAATCAGCTCTACCAAAAACACAGATTTCCACATCAATACAAGGAATATGAAATGTTCAGAGTGAAATATGAATCACTAGTTTAGAGGGAACTCACTCAGTTTGGGTCTGAACAGCCTAATGGGGAGAAAATGAATAATCTCAAAATAGAAACTGGATGTCAAATCTTGTTTGGTCCAACTTGTGTTTAATCCTTATATTCCTTTCTCTGTAACCCTTACATTCCTTTATTTCTTTTTGACACATTTATTTCATTAAAAAAGAAGCTTTGGAAAAGCTCCCATCAGTGTATTTTCTTTTGCATCACTTGTTGGGGGTATTTTATAACCAGAAAATATTCTGATAAAACAGCAGAAACTTCTTAATTAAAAAAATCAGAGCCACTTCCCTTGATTTCTGGATACTCTAGAAAATAACAAGCCTGAACATGTCCTGAGTACTAACCACAGTCTGTTTCCAAAGAAGGCTTCTGCCTAATCAGGACTATGGTGAAGCATTTCAGATGAAGTACGTTACATGTAACAGCATCCTTCCTCAGAAATGACAAGAGCTTATCTTATCTACCTGAAAAAGTCAAGGTGCTGGGCTCTTCTATCTGTGCTGGCTATAATCACACAAGCAGTTGCAAAGGTAAACACAATCTAGATGTATGCATGTATTCAGCTGAAGGGAAGAAACTCTGCTGGAGCGTAGTCTCTCCTGGAACAGCAATACAATCAGAGCAGGTCATTCTCATGCACAGCAGAAATAACTCTGCTGATTTCACAAAAATTACAGCAAGAATAAATTTAGCTGTGCACAATAAAAGTGAGAACTTTACTGCAGCTGAACAATTGTCCGTACCTCATCTTCTCTGCGTAGACATAAAACATCAGAAGGTGAACACTCAGTATTGCTTATAATTCTTTTTATTGTTATTCTTGATGCCAGTTGCTGTCAAAAAATTGAAATATTTTCATAGCAGTAAAACCCAATCATCCTATACTGCCTGCTCTTTTTTAACTAGGGGGGGAAATATTAAACCATCATGAATTACTATTTTTAATATAGGATTTTTTATGCAATGTTTTTTTCCCAAACATTAATAAATGAGGGTAAAAGTTTTTCCCTCCTTGCAAAGCTACCTTAGGTTTAATTTGTTTTTATTGATTTCCAGAGGCATTTACACAACACAAGGTACAGTATAAGAAGAACATGTTAAATATTTTCACAGGCATGTTCTTTTCACTTCAGAAAAATAACAGAAGAGCTTTCCAACCTGCTGTATGCTGCCTGCCAATCCTGTGTGGCAAAAGCAGCAGCATCGCTTTTTAAATATAATGGGCTTTATTTTCAGTATGGTCCAAGCCCCAGGTAAGTATTTAGGGTTAAATCACATAAATTAACATTATGTTTTTGTAACAAGCAGGAACAAATGCACCAACTTTGACATGACTGGAAAGAGATGTTTGTAATGCCATTACTAACACTACATGCTTTCTGAACAAGAAAATAAATGTGTTCAGCCTGCGGTATGCTCATCAGACAGACACGGCAGTGTCCTGACACTATGTTAACCTGACCATTACACATGTTTCTGTCTGTATCATATATACACTTCATCTCTGGCACCAATGTTTATTAGAGAGCCCAAGAAACATCAAGGATAAGCCACAAGCATTTGGCTCATCATAAATCTTGAAGAAAGAAAATCAGGTAGCAAACTCAACCTTTGAAGGAAGTCCTTCCTGAGGTTAAATGACTTTTTCACTCATGCCAAACATTTGATCTTCCTTCCTATTCACTTAGAAGGAACTAGTTACCGAAAGCTACAGAAGAAGGCTCTTAAAGGGCCTTCTTATGGTAATGGTTTGGTTTAAAAGCATGTGTCCTGAGGTTGTCTTAGAGTTAAAAGCACAAATATGCTGGTAAATAGTTAGGAATTCAACATGAGACATGGGAATGCACTCAGATGACACAACTCAAGGTTATGGTGACCCTCATGTTTCTAGCCAGCTCACAAAACAGAGCAAAAAATCCACAATTCAAAAGACAGGGTATCTCCTGACATAGCCGGGTAAGCCACTTTCAAGAGTCATAGTCATAAGAAATACCGAGTGAAGCAGATGAGAGCAGAGACAGGGGAAACAGATTGAAGACCAGAAAGCCAGACAAAGGCCTCAGGATGATTTTGGCAGGCAGACTGGAAAGGGCATAAATAATTTTGCCAAGAGCCAAACAGACATACAAACACAGGTAAACCAGCCCCAATGAAGTAGAGCTGCATACTGACTGCAAGAGAGAGAGCAACTTGCTGGGCCTTAAATGTCTTAGAGAGGCTCTTCTCAGGTGCACAGAGGAGGTTGCACACCAGCTGCAGTGGTATAGTGGATATATTAAGTGTAGAACTGTGGCTTACATGATTTGGTAGACGTATTTGCTAGACCTGATGTTTGAAGAGTGATTCAAGTGCCTAAAAATAGCTATCTAAAACCACATTAAATAAGACATCAGTATGGGGCTGGCAGAAACAAAACAAGACTTACTAAGGCTTGTGCACTTCTGGCACAGCTGCTGGAGGGCAGGATATGTAGGGTGTCCACAATGGGACTGCACGTTTAGCACTAGAATTACACGCTTTGTAACTTACGTGGTAGAAAAAACAGACAAGTCTGCTGCCAGCCCAAAATACGGTACAAAAATTACACAGTGGCATCACTGGCCCAACAAAATGAAGCCTGATGCTCAACTTCTCCCTCACCCCTTAGCAGGCCAAAACACTTGCTTGTTTTTAATGAAGAATTACTGTTTCCAGCCTAATACTGCCTCCACCTCACATTACGTATTATCAGCTACTCTGCTAGAAGTGATCATTCATTCCAGAAATACACGTAGCTAATTTCACATAAAACCAAGAGTTCAAGTAAAGTAGGAGCACTTACACGGCAAAGGGAGGAATGCTAGAAATGACATTCCAGAAAGTCCCTAAACAGAGTGAGGTTTCACCACAGGGCACAGACTTTTCTAGAAGAAAACAGAGAAAGTTTTAGAGAAACAAGTTACTCTAAACCAGAGGTTTATATTTATCTAGGTTACAGATTTATCTAAACTGGAATCTCACCTAAATATATAATGAAAATATAACACAAAATGATGAATATACAACCCCTCTAAGATGAAGACTACTACAAATTTTCTGGAACTGCAAGGGAAGAATATGTCTGAAGAACAAAATATTTATGTGTATATAGAGACCAGATGCACATTTTCAGCCATTCCATTTGAAAATTTTCCTTATAGCTTTCATAACATTTATTAGGAGTTTAAGATACTGGCATTTCTCTATGTCAACTGGATAAATGTCACTGACACAAACCAAAGAAAATAAGAACAGAAGATACAAATGCAGCCAAGTTGTATTTATAGTGAGCATAGTGTTCATCCCCCTGTTGGGTCAGTGGGATAGCTATAGAATCATAGAACTATAGAATAGTTTGGGTTGGAAAGGACCTTAAGATCATCTAGTTCCAACCCCCCTGCCGAGGGCAGGGACACCTCACACTAAACCATGTTGCTCAAGGCTCTGTCCAACCTGGCCTTGAACACTGCCAGGGATGGAGCATTTACCACTTCTCTGGGCAACCTGTTCCACTGCCTCACCACATCTATTATTTTATGTACTTGTTCTGGCTAGGATGGAGTTAATTTTCCCCCTGTGTGGGGGGACTGAAGGTGGACAGGGTCAACTCACCACATTGTGCCAACAGAAGAAGATACATGTATCCTGTCTCTCCTGTTCAGTGACTGCCTGAAAAGCTGAGACTGCCTTAAGTCACCACCTAACTTTATCAGCATTTCGCACACACTCAGTGATCTGCAGAGCCATTACAAAGGCAGGGAATATCTGAAAAGTAAAAAGCTGGGTAAATTTGCTTGCTGCCTCAGAATTGCCCCCAACTGGGAATTTATTCCTTGCAAACCATGAGCTGCAACAAGGAAATTGCCATTAATGCATAAATATTTCTTGTGCTTTGCTCTTACTTGACCTTGTTTGTAGCTGTGCTTGCCAACTGCAGACACGAACTACATAGTTTAGCTCGAGTTTACTGCAAAGCTGGCTCTGAAACAGTTATTTGCAATGTGGAGAGAGCTGTAAGAACAGATCCTCCGAGTCTGTCACACTGCCTTCTGGCAGAAGAGCACAGAATTTACTTTACAGCTCTCAGAGTTATCTCTAAAGCCTCAACTTCTTGTTTGTACATCTTTTATTCACTTGGTGTTGTACCAAGGTGTTAACAGTTATTGAAAAACAACCACCAGCAGTCCAAAACAGCTCCTTCTGTCCCAAATAACAGAAAAGCTGTCACATCAATGTGTAGACAGTCACTAATTGTCTCAGAACAGTATAGAGCTGTATGAGATACAGGCAGCCTCAGGTCTAGTTGCTTTCCAGCAGCACAGCCAGCTTGGAGCTATTTAGCATGACAATGTACCGTGACAGGCAGGTACACAGAGCACATACAGAATTCTTTGGCACTTCCAGATTACTGTCAGCACTCAGCTGCTACAAAGTTAGCCTGCTGGATCTGTCCTACAGAGCAAGCATCATTGTGATAACAGTACACATACACCACTTAGTTTATGTGCTTAAGGTAGAATTAGGAAGATCAACACATTAGCAGTTCGTGACTGCAAAATAATTTTACATTTTTCCTATGTATTTATCCTGTTTTACTTAACTCCAAAATAAATATATTCCCTGTTTCTCTCAGCTTCCTCAAACTTGCAGGTCCCATTCCAATGAGGGAGTGGATTTTTACAGCTATAACATGACAGTAATTTTATTCATTAAGACTTTGCAGCCAAAGCACTTAGGGACTCATAGAAAAGTAATAAACACATGTTTTAAAACACACAACAGAAAAATAATTTTTAAAATAGACTTAAAATACAAATTAAGCAGCTGGAAAAGTTGTTCTAATAAACAACCAATAGCACTGGTCATAAGAAAAGCTGTAAGCTCTTTGAAATGGAAGAGCCTGCTTTGTTCAGTAATAAAGATGAATTAAAACAGCAGCCACAGTGGGGCTGGGATTCTCCACCTTAATGCTTTACCACAGCACAAGCACAATTATTAATCAACACTAATATCATAAAGCAGAGTAGGGGGTACCACTCACATCATCTCTAGAAATGAACACAGTGCTGTTGAAGCCATATTTAATATCACAAAGGTGAAGGTGTTCTTGGTCACAAATCATGATGAGAACTTGAGAGAGGATAGCATCACAAAACCTGAGAAAAAGAGTAAGTAAGCAGAGATGGAAGCAGTGCGCTAAAGAGGTGCTTCCACTCTCAGCAGAGCAGATGCAATGATGGAATATGCAAAGCAGAAGATGAAAGAGGAAGAAGGAGAAAGAAGAGCATAAGCCTGGGCAAAATCCAAGGACCACCAATGGGTTGGGAAGACAACGAAAAGCAGCTTGTACAGTCAGATCAGAGAACAGTTCAGAGCCTAGCAGCTGGTGATAGAGTCAGGGGGAATGATTATATGGTTTCAGCCATAGCAGTAGAATTCCTATTTAACATGTATCACAGAAGTGCAGAATCCAATAATTTTCAACCAGTTTCTGATTGATTAATAACACATTAACCTGATCTAATGTGGAAATCTGAGGTGACCTTTAAAACAGCAGTGAAAGGACTTTGGTTGACAGCTCTTACAAAACTTGAAGCTGCCATGCTCTTGCTTTCTGAGCAAGGTGCAAGTACAGTGGATGTAAAAAAAGGGCTTTCATTCAGCTCTGCCTGTACTTGCCTGGCACATGCTTTACATTCAAATAAACTCCCAAAACTGGAGTTAAACCAGAGACATCAGTAGCAGAACCCAACTGATTTTGAAGAAAGTCTGACAAAAACACACACTTCCCCTAATTTCAGCAGCTTCTATAACAGGGTTGACTTTGCACCTTCACAGATGCTTGTGGAAGGGAGCAAAGTGTGAAGCACTCATTTTAGGGACAGGTTCAGAGACCTCCACACAAAGCACCAGAAACATGGTTAGGTATATTTTATTTCTGTGGCAATCAGATTTTTAGAAGCTTTTCTGCCTTCCGCTCCAGCTATTTTAGCTGAACTCTTTGTCACCATCTAGCCGGACTCACCTAGCCAAGTTAGAATTGAATGGAGCAGAGCACTGGTCCCACAGGAGCGTTCACCCACTCATTAATTACACATAGCAACACAATGACAAGTTCTTGCTGCTTTCTACAGTTGAATAAAAGCATCAGATAACCTTTTTAAATCTTGCTTTATGCTACCTCCATTCATAGCTTTTCAATACCCTTGCACAACATCAGCAGAACAAGCAGTCCTGCTTTGTCAGCCAGCTGGGTGCCCAAAGAACAGCCTACCTATGAGACTGAATTGTGAATCAGAGCACTAAACCATAATGCCTAGAAAGAGCTCTGTGTGCTGCCCAACCAACCACACAGTTCAACATCCTGTCAGTCATCAGATAAAGTATGCAAAAAGCAAGGAAGAAACATTTGCAGAAGTCACACTTCAGCAGTAAATAGCCAGGCCTCAGGCTTTCACAGCACTACTGGCAGCCTGTTTGCCCAGCACCTGGCTTGGCAGTCCTTCAGCAAACATTCTCTTTGACTAATACAAATCACTTGTACAGCAGAAACAGGCCCACAGCAAGTAATTCATCAAATCTTAAAGAAAAATTAAGAAAGAAAGAAAAACATATATCTGAATGTCAAAATACCATTCCAATAATAGCACTTCCATTGTTAACCTGTGTAAGGAACAGATAACAAGAACTGCTGTCTGCTTGGCAAATGTGAATGTGACAGAAGAGAGCTGACCTACTCTTCTATCAACTTGTTCTGGTAAGTTGAAAGGCAACAATTTCTTTTTATGAAAAATATGAAGAAAATCCTTGACACCACACTAAGAGAATCACAATTGATTTGAAAACTCTTCTCTTGAAGCTCAATGGATTTGTCTCAAGGTGGAAAGCCACATCAGCATGATAGGAGATTGTTTCTCTGCATTTGAACAGCTTTGTTCTGAGTGGTAGCTAGGCTAAAGTAAGATAGACAACACTTGATTGACAGGTTTTCCATTTTTATATCTCCAGGAATGCTACAAGACATGCACGAGTGCCCCTGATAACATACGGGCTCAGAGAACACACCGTAATAGCCAGATTTGTAAATCCTTGGTATACCAGATGACTTATGCAGGAATATTACAATAAATTGCCTCTGAAATTGTGGCATGCTGCTCTGGGGAAGGATCTCTTCAGTGTCCCCCCAGGAACAGAACTTCTGTTGTTCTAAATTGCTGTAATTAGATCTCTTCAGAGCCCTGTGGCTATAGCTATTCCATTTCCAACACAGCAACACTCTCCAGGCAACAAGATGGTTACAAAATGTACCTTTCAAACCAGTTAGCAAAAAGCTATGGGAACTCCAAGAGTACTCTTTATAATCAGAGCAGGATGTATGATTCAGTATTTTCAGCCTTAGGAGAAACTAGGCAGAAAGTAGGTATTACACATTCCCTCTTGGGAGAGAGATCTTACAATGTTTGCATTAAAAACTGTAATTCTGAACATACAGATTAACCATCTTAGTGCTGCTCTAATGAAAAGAAAGTCAGGTTATCTCCCCCCGCAAGCCCCTAACCTGCATTTCAGGATTTAAAGTTTCCAGATTCAAGTAATGATTTCATCTTTATTGTCTGGGTCTGAAATGGACCCAGGGTGGAGCTGATCCTCAGTCTTAACAATCGTTATGGAGGGAGATTTGTTATCGCTTTATACACCAGGATCAGTCCCTTAATTTTACACTACACATCTTCCCACAATGGGCTATGGCTCAGTGATCCCATCTGCAACCTTTTCTAAAGGGCACGGGTATGAATAACAGGTTTGTCTTCTTCACTGCCATATAGTTCAGTAACAGTCTTACAGCTAAATTAACATTTTCTTTAATTTGATGTTTCCTGATATTTCATTTGATATTTAATATTTTCTGATATTTAATTTCATGTTATTTCCTGGTAAATTTCCTGAAAGGTCACTGCTGGAACATATACAAAGGCATTTTTTTGGTCGTTTTTTTGTCCACTTGCTCCCACCACAGCTCAATATTGGTTCTGATCAGGATGACCTATATCTGTTCAGCAAAGATATAATGCCCTGTCACTTGCACCCTCAAAACATTAATAACACAGTTCATATTTGAATCACAAAAGTAATGGCATTCTGTTTGCTGCTTGAATATCAATAGGCTATATCTCAGCATTAGGAGACAAAACTAGGTTGGTCTTTTTTTTTAGAGAAACAGAAATGCCTTAATTTTTCATTGAACTTTTCAAGCACAAATCTTGCATTTATGGCATTTTTCATCTCTAAGGATTACAAGTCTCTCCACTACAAGCGCAATATTAATAATAAAAAAGAGACATAATTCAGCTGACATTTTGAGTTTTCAAAGTATCACAGAAATTCCCTTGTGCTCTCTAAACAACTTTCTTGTAAGGTACTGAAAAATTACTGCCCTTAATTTGTAGTTGTAGAAATGTGGTTAAGTAACTGCACAAGACGACAAAGTGAATCAGTAGAGAAACCAAAGGATCATATCCAGAGTCCTTGATTCTATCACTAGATTCTATCCACAGAAATCAAGGGTTAAAGTCACTTTTAACCACATCAAGTTGAAAAGTAGCAGCTGGTTAATGTTACAGAATTCAGGACAAGCATTACTTATCATCAGATCATTTTCAAACCCAGTATTTAAGTGAAGAGCAAAAGACCACTTGATACGGAGAGGACTGCTCAGGAACCAAACAGTGCTTGCTTGTGAACATCTGTGATTGCCAACCAGATGCTGAACACTCAGTAAAGTATAAAAAACCCAACACATTAGGTTGGGTTTACAATTAAAATGGAACAGACAGCAATAGCGTAAGAACATTAAAATTTGGGAGGTTTTGGTCAAAGTGGGACAGTACTCACAGCCAATATCAATCAGGATGCAAAGAAGCTCTATTTAAAGGTCCATGCTCTTCCTTCGTGCTGCATCTGCTGTTTGGTCTTGACCCATCAGTAGTTGTGCTAATGCAGGGTTTTCTTGACAGCTGTTCAAGTTAAGAAAATCACAACAAACCTCATTCTTACTGTGGAGTATCTTGAAAACTTACTTGCAAAAGGCCTGTGAACTACCATTTGGGGTAACTGGTCCTAATACAAGAACGAACTTGTTTTAGAAATCTTGAGCTGACTGTATTTTACTCAGTTATTAATTAGCCATGCTGGCAATAGGCTTTGCTCAACCTTTTGTTATCAATTTTGTGATTTCGTGATCAATCATTAATCAAACACAACTTCCAAAGATGACAGGCAGAAGAGAATTAAGAAAGGCTGAAATAGGAAGCCAGATGCTAAGAGTGACAAGGAGAAATGACAGCCAAGAATGATGAGACCGCAAAGACTGCTTGTCTAGGCTTTGTGAGAAATGAATAATCCTTCTAGGAAGCAGTTTAAAGACATCAGACCTAAAGATTCACTTACCTTTTCTGTCTCATTTCTTCATGGCTTTCTGTGGGTATCGCCTTTTGTGGCTATTCCTACTCCTTGTTCTTTCTGATTCTTCCTCAGCATTATCAGCATCTTTAACAGATTTCCTCAACTACTTCTTTCAGTATTTCTGAGGATGAAGCTTGGAATTTGTGGCTTATCTACTTAAGGCAGATACTGACACCACTACATCTACTGCATGTATGAACACCACACGGCATCACTCTTTCTTTGCTGTGTTGTGTATGTGCAAGCCATTGGATTGTACCAGTGTCACATCACAAAACAGTGACAACCAAAATACAAAACCCACAGACTGAAAAACCATTTGCTTTGTATCTTAGAGATGTTGCTTATTGTCACCCAGGAGTGTTTATTGGTATGCTTCTAGCTCTTCCAGATCTTCTCAAAGGAGGAGAAATCCACATCCATGTAACTGTATGAGCAGTGAGACTCCTTGGGATCTAACAGTTGTCGCAGTATAAGGCCACTGGCCTCATTATACCATTCATCCTGCATTCTGCAGAGCCATGAAGCAACACATCATAGATACACAACCTGCCAAATAAAAGCCATGCTGAAAACTTATTGCACTCTGCCAAAGTTTGATTAAACTTAGCAAAGCCCCAGCTTCTGCAGGATTCTCATGTGGCAAAGCAGGAATGTACTTTGATCACATACTTGAATATAACATTTATTGAATTTGCACTGTGGAATCAGCACCTTCGCTATCCTTCAGTTTATGTTACAGAAGTGCACAAATGCATGTGAAGATCAGGTTAACAGCTGGTGTTCACACGTCTGTGAATAATCCAGGACTCACTTTGGGACTGTACAATGTGTGACCTTGAGATTGGGTGTTTTTTTCCCCACTTTAACAGGATAACAGCTAATAGATATTGACAAAGCTCAGGAGCCACCCAAGTACAGCGAGCAGGCCTTCCGCAGCCTCCACTAACCATTGCACAAACAAGTTGCACAAGCAGGTGGCCAAATTTGGGAACAGTGGATTAGCAGCATCAATCCCTTTTAATTAAAGCTCAAGATTTGAGATGATGATTACCCAGCAAGCGTGTAGACAGCGTTGTGTGAGCTTGCATAGGCACACTCCTCAGTGGGGGTTTGCACACCAGCTACTGACAGATGCTTCAAGGCATTACTGATTAACGGGCCGGCAGTTAAAAATAAAACGAGCTGCAATCCTCAAACTTTTCCAGTCACAGCTCTTACGGGACAGACGGACGGGACCACCCGCAGCCACCGCACTGCCTCAGCTCGACCACTTCTGACAGAAAAACGCCGACGCCTGACGGCAGCCGGTGCCCCGCTGGCTTCTGCGGGCTCCCGTTGCCGAGGGGAGGCTGTATCAGCCCCAGGAGGGGCAGCAGGGCCCAGCAGAACCCGCTCCCAAGAAAAGCGAAGGCTCCCGCTCCCCGCCTCCCCCACACGGCACCAGACCTCCCCACCGAGCCCCGCCTCTTCCGCGGCCACGCCCTCCCGCGCGGCACCTTCCGCCACGAGGGGGCGGGGGGAGCGATTCCCTCCGCAGCGCTCCGGAAGCGCTGCAGGCTCCACCCCCCCCCGCCTGTTTGGCCCGAGCCGTGCACCCGCCGCGCAGATTGGCTGTCGGCAGTGTCGCCCTTAGCCTGTCCGCTCGCTGATTGGCTGCGGCAGCGCGGAGGCCCGGAGGGGCGGGCTGCGGCGGTGTGTGGGAAGAAAGGTGCAATGGCGGCGGTGGCACAGTGCGTGAGGGGCGCGCTGCGCCCGCGGTATCCGCTGCTGAGCTTCGCCCTGAGGTGAGGGTCGCGCCGTGCCGTGCCGTGCCGTGCCGTGCCGCCTGGCCTGGCTCGGGTGTGGCGGGATAGGTCGGGTCCGGGTCCGGGTCCGCACTCACCGCCTTGCTATCGCCGAGCCAGGCCAAGAGCGGGGCCCAGCCCCGCCGCGCTGGGGTGCTTCACCCCGTGTGACCGGCCCTCCGGCTGTGCGGCGGGGAGCCCCTTCTGACAGCCGGTGCAGGTCCCACCTCCCTTACTGTCCGCCGGGAGAGTGTCCCAGCCAAGCATCGCGGGCCCGCGTGGCTGGGCCGTGGGCCTGAAGGCCTCCGGGCCTGAAGTGTTGGTGCGGCGTGCGGGGCACCAGACCTGTTGGGATTGCAGCACTGAGCCTCGCCCGTGAACCGGTTTGTTTCAGCCTCGGAAACATTAGGAAGGGATAGAACCTCATCTTCATGGAGACCGGGCCGCTATTGACATATTTGCGAAACAGCAGTGAGATACAGCAGGGACTCAAAGGCGCTTTTCTGTTGCTCTGTAGCAATCGGCGGCAAACCGCAGTTCTTGTCGGTGTTTTCTGGGAGCCTGTTGCGGGTGATTGCATCATGTGAACTGGCTTTGTGTCCTGATAGAGCGCCGTGCTGAAAACAAGCACATGTTGCCTTTAAAAGCGCTGCTGCTTTATAACTGAATATAGTGGGCACTTACAGGCTGCTGCCCTGTGGTTTTTATATCGCAGCAAAGTTATTTTCTGTAGCAGTTTAGATGGCCTGAGTTCAGTTACTTCTCATGAGAGGTTCTGTAAGTAATTTCACACAGCTAGAATTGTTGTATTAATTTGTGCTTTAATGTGAGGATTTTGTAGATATTGATATGTCAAATAAAGCGTCCAGCATGTCCAGAAGATGCGAATACCTTACAAAGTAAGCAACTGATTAATACTATCCACATTTTTGCCTTAGGACTTCTCCACGACTGCTTTGTGCAGCAACACAACAGAAAAATACTGGCCAGAACTTGGAAGAGGACCAGAGTCAGAGCCAAAATGAACACAAGGTAGAACCCAGCTCTGCTGAAAAGACGTTAACTGAAGAAAAGGCCAAACTGGAAGAACAACTGAAAGAAGTTACCGTAAGTGTCTCATGGTTATTGGGTTGCACATTGCATACCTACGAGTGTTCATTATGATTTCCTTGTGCCCAATCTGGATACAGTTGTGTGATTGCTGTGTAATTGTTCAGTAAAAACCTGCACTTTGATAATTGCTTAAAGCTTCAGAGTAGATATACAACAAGAGATGCATCCCTGGTACAAGACGTAAGATTTTTTTGGTAACTTACTTCCAGTTTCTGGATGCAGTTGGACCTTTTCCAGCCTGAATACCTGATAGTGAGTTTTGGTGACTTCAGTTCACTTGGATTTTGCTCAGTGAAGAAGTAATTTTTGGAAGCCTATGGAAGGGTTTGAGGTTGTCTTTGATGTGTGCATCTGTGTGCACTAGGAGTAGGCTTTCTCAGAAGAGCTGCTGGCTTTTCAAAGGTCAGGGTTAATGGTGCTTAGCTTTTACTTAATAGTCTACTTATTACATTCTCTGGAAATTTCAAACCTTCTCTGTTGGAGACCCTTCAAACATAAGGCTGAAGCATCACATTCCCTTTGGCTGGCCCATCTTGCATTCTCTCTTCAGCAGAGGGTGAAGGATTAAATAAAAGTATTGCTTTTCTGGATGAATGCTTTATATAAAATGTATTTCTAGAGCATTTGAGACTTTGAGAGGTAGCCCAGAACCTTTTGTAGAAGGACCACCTATGGATCATAAGTGGATTGAGTTTTCTTCCTGTTGCCCTTCCCAAAGTGCAGAAGGACAAAGCAGAGATGTCATTTAACATCTCTGCTGACACCTTCTGCTATTCGTTGCCCAGTGTGGCTCTTCAGTCAACTCGTTGACTATTCTTACTCTATTGTGGGATTCTTCACAAGCATATTCAGAGTGGAAGCCCAGTGTGGAGTTCTGGGTGAGGTGGTGAAGCCCTCAACCTGAAGTGCCTAGATTTAATAAATTCCATTCTTAGTACATCTGCTGCTAGAGGAGTTAGGCTTCATAGTTTGTAAAGTTTGAAGAAACCCGCTGTGTTGAATCTTGTTTGCCACAGTGTCAAAATCCCTCAGGATTGATGAAGGCTTCCTATGAACACACATCACCAAAAGCGGAAACCTTTGATTAATAAAACTTGATGTATCTGTAGAGTTAAAAATGGCTTCCAGTTAATCTGTTGACAAATACTGGGAGTCTGGAAATCCATCTTACTTTCTTTCCCTCACTTTTGTCTGCATTAAAGTGAAGCAAACACCTGCGTTGGTAGATGCTGTGCTAATTGTCATGTTGTCTTTAGACTGGTCTTCAGATGGTGGGCCATCTAAACTGTAACTGTTTAAAATGCTGGTTTATACAGAATATGCTGTTCTGAACTATCGTCAACTACCCAACAACCAGGAATGAAATCTCTTCTGTTACTGTTTTTTTTTCTCTTTAGGACAAGTACAAGCGTGCCTTGGCAGATGCAGAAAACATAAGGCAAAGAAGCCAGAAACTGGTAGAAGAGGCAAAGTTATATGGTCAGTGGAGGCTCATTTTGTCTATGCTCCTAAGACCCAGGAAATGCTCAGCCTGGAAAACTGAGCTGACTGGTTCAGAGTTGGGACACATTGTACTTCCCAAGTCACTCTGACTCCTTGCTGGAAAAATGTATTTGACGCAGAGGTTTTAACAGTTCCTCACTTTGCATCAGAATTACAATCATCTCACTAGACAAGGGCAAGGCTCACACAGCTGACTTGAAATCTTCTGTCAGCTTGGTACCTGATTTCCTACAACATATCCTGCACTGGTATATTTTTCAGTAAGGTTTGCAGCCTCAAGTTTGCCATTTTCACACACTTTGGTCTCAGAACTGACTGCAGAATACTGACATGAAATAGCAGCTTTCCTTCTGGTTTAGGGTTTTTTGTTCTTGGTGGGTTTTTTGGGTTTGGTTCTTTTTTTGGGCCGGGTTGGTTTGGTTTAGTTTTTGATTTTATTTTTTTTTTTTTAGCCTTTTATATTTGGATAACTTTTGTGTTCTGCTGAAGGCCATAGCTTTCAAACAGAAATAATACATTTAGATGGGTGGTTTCTTTTCAGTGGTAGAAATGTAAAATCACTGGCTAGGAGGAATGCTAGATACACATCTTTCTTCAACAGCTGGAGCCAGGCTACTGACATCTGATTCAGCTTTTTGACAGTTCAAACACAAACCTGTAAAACACGGTACACAAATACTGCAGCAGCAGAGTGCTGATCATTTTAGTGTTCGACTGTCACTCTGGCTTGAAAAATGAGTTGACCTTTTTTGCCACACACTATACACAGCTCTATAGTTTAATTCTGAATACAGAAGTTTTACATTTCTGAATACAGGGTCTTCAGTTAATGTGTGCTGTCAGAAAAAGCACCTCTCAGTTACACAGCGTTCTTGCACTGTTTTCATGGGTGTTTGAATACTTTGCTCTGAAGCTGATTTTCAGTAAGCGTTGTTTCACTGATATGCTGCTTAGTGCAGAAGGACTTTGAGTCATGTCTGAGCTCAGAAATTTTACAAAAACTATTCAGAAAACGTTTTTCATGAATACCAAATTACAGAAAATCTGCACAATTTTATCACTCGTATATGACTGCTTTTTCTGTTGAAGGAAGAGACGTGCAGTTGTTAGTGACCCGTTCCTGAGAATTACCTGATCCCTATAGATTTTGCCAGGTGCTTTGATAGGATTTTTTATGTTTAAACCAAAGACTTGTGCTCTGGTAATGCTCATACCGCTTCTTGGTAGGGAAAAACCTATCAAAATGCAGAGCAGTTTGTCACTGGTTCACCTCTACATAGAAATGTGTTATTTTACTGAACGCTTTTGTTTTTTTGTGAGTTCTAGAAATGATTTGCCTTAAGTGAGATGAGGCCAGATTCTGTTAGTGTGAGCCAGAGAACAGCTTCAGGACAGGAGCTATCTTTACCTTAGGAATTGCTCAGTGTTTACAAGGCACGGCTTCTGACTCTGTACAAGTGGTTTGTAGTGGCAGGGAGAGGTGTGAGTTCTCACAGTGAATCACAGGAGTCGCTGTTCCTCTCTCAGACTCCTCATCAATCTGACTACATGCTTTTTCTTCTGGAAATATTTTTGGCACATCAGATTAAAGAGTAGGAATAGGGCAATATAATGCTTTGCACTTGAATCCCAGGATGAGAGAGGCATGAGGAAATGATGTTAATCTGAAGGGTTTGGTAATTTTGATTAGAATTTTAACTATTAATGTCAGGTCATTAGCGTAGCTTTAGCTCTTTT